TTATATTTATACCGATCGACACCTCACCTCTGTCACCGATCGACACTCACCTCACCTCATCTCGTCACCTCTGTCACCGATCGACACTCACCTCACCTCATCTCGTCACCTCTGTCACCGATCGACACTCACCTCTGTCTTCGGCAGGTGTGTGGACGAGATCAACGCATTCCACTGCGAGTGTTACCATGGTTACGAGGGCACGTACTGCGAGCACGACATTGACGAGTGCGAGCGATACGCGCCGTGTCGCCTAGCAACCGCCTGCAACAACCTTCCCGGCGACTACGCGTGCGACTGTGTCGCCCTCTACGGGGGGAAGAACTGCTCGGTCGAGCTGATTGGCTGTCGCCGACACGGCTGTCTGAACGGAGGCGAGTGCGTCCCATTCCTGATTGGCGAATCGCAGCACAACTACACGTGCACGTGTCTGCACGGTTACCATGGTTACCACTGCGACGTCGGCACGACGATGACGTTGCTAGGCGCCGGTGGCGTTGCCGTGGCGACCGCAAGCGGTGACGGTAACTACACGACGTCGCTGCGCTTCCGCACGACGCTCCGCCAGGGGGCGCTGCTGCTGGCGTCGGGCGGCGCGGAGTCGCTGCTGCTGGAGCTACACCAGGGGGCGCTGCAGCTGAGCTACACCGGCGCCCTCGGTGGCGGCGTCGTTGTCGCGCCGACGCTGCCTCGCCCATCGCTGTCGCTCGTCGACGCTCGCTGGCACCAGGTGGTGCTGGTGCTGTCGTCGCAGACTGTATCGCTGACAGTGACGCACGAGGGTCTGCCGTACGCGCCCGTGACGGCGACGGAGCGGCTGGTGGCGCCCTCACGCGCGCTGGATGGGGTCGTGACCTATGTCGGAGGTCGCGGTGAGGCTGCGTTCGTGGGATGTCTACAGGACGTCGTCGTTAACGATGCGTGGGTTATCCCTGATGATTACCTGAACAGCTCGCCGATACAGCTAGGATGCCCCAGGTAACACACCATGATGTATCTAAATATCTATCTATCTTATATAGCTATCTATCTATCATCCATCCCCATCCCCATCCATCCATGCGATAGCATAAATACATCCATCCATCCATCGCATCCATCCATCATAAATACATCCACTCCCATCCATCCTCCATCCATCCATACATAAATAATACCATCCTATCCATCGGATTGCATCGGCAAATCAGTTCGTCGCTCCGCATCAGACCATTCCCATGCCACATCCATCCCATCCATCAGTCGTTCGTCAGTCCATCAATGCCATTCCATCCCATTCGCATCCATCCATCCATCCGTCCCGTCTGCTCGCCTCCGGTCTTCCAATCCATCCATGCCATCGCCATCCATCCATCCATCCTCCGATGCCATCCATGCATCCATGGCATGCATCCATCCATCCATGCATCCATCCAATTCCATCATCCATCATCCATCCTCCATCCAAACTCCAGTCGATCGCATCGATCCATCTGATCGCATCGTTTATACCATCGATCCATCCATGCCCATCCAATCCAACGGCATACGCACACCATCCATCCATCCATCAATCCATGCTATATCTGTCTGTCTGTCTCTGTCTGTCTGTCTGTCCGTCCGTCCGTCCGTCCGTAAACCCGTCCGTCCGTCCGTCCGTGCCCGTCCGTCGCGTCCGTGCCGTCCGTGCTCCGTCCGTCGCGTCCGCTGCCGTCCGTCCGTCCGTCCGTCCGTTCCGTGTCCGTCCCGTCCGTCGTCGTCGTCGCGTTCCGTCCGTCCGTCCGTCCGTCCGTCCGGTCCGTCCGTAACCGTCCGTCCGTCTCGTCGCGTCGTCGCGTCCTCCCGTCCAGCGTCGCGTCCGTCCGTCCGTTCGTCGTACCATCATCCATCCATCCATCTTATTTATCTATCTATCTAATCCATCTATCTATCTAATGCTACGCATGTAATAATAAGTAATAATAATAATTAATAATAATGTGTATCAAACCTCAGTAGCTCAGCAGATACAGTTAGGATTGCCCAGGTAACACACATATATAAATATATATATATATATATATATTATTATTATACGAAGCTAAAGTCAGCAACACGAAACACCCGTGTAGCATAAAAACAAAGTCAAGTAGTAGAATAAGGGTGTGTTAAAGTTTAATGACAAGCTTTCGAGATTTACATAATATATATATATATATTATAGGTATTATAGATATAGATATATTAGGATGTGAGAAGGAGGGGTGGGGTGATATGAGACGGAGGTAAATAAAAACGACCGACATAAGCAGACGATGACGAACCGACGGCCAGGTGTGCCGTGACGTAATCCGCGTTACCTGAGACACCTGAGGTGTGCTGGGCAGGGGCGTGGCTGTGAGCGGTACGTGAGATCCGCGTACGCCGGCGCCTTTTCCTCTAATGCGGAATTATATCAGCAGCCGCCGCCACAGCAGAAATTAGCATATATATGATTATGTAAATAATTAAATTTAACTGGCCTCACCACCACCACGAACCAAACCTGCTTCCACCGAAAGGCTTATCAAATAATCACTAATTCCTGTATTGCAGGTGTGTGTGCTCGTGTCTGTGTATGTCTCTCTGTGTGTGCGCGTGTGTGTGTGTGTGTGTGTTGCGCGCGCGTGCGTTGTCGTAAGCGTTCGTGCGTGCTCAGTGCGTGCGCTGCGTGCCGTGCGTGCGTGCTGTGCGTGCGTGCGTGCGTGTGTGTTGTGTGTGTGTGTTATGCCTTGTGTGGCGTGTGTGTGTATATCTGTATACTTGCGCAGCGTGCGTGCGTGAGTGCGGGTGCGTGCAGATCCAGACAGGTTATTATGGTTTAACATCGATGTGTTATGAAGAGCTAATAAATACCAGGTATGTATTAGCTCTTGGCATAGGTGTCTCGCACACACACACGCGCACGCACGCACGCACGCATACGCACTTCAACACAGGCACACTACGGCGGCACCGCAACACACACACGAACGCACCGCACGTGCGCACACACACCACATCCACAAACACACCCACACACACACAACACTGAGCCGCAACACACATATATATATATATATAGTACATAAACACAGCCGTGTTCACCACCCAGTGTTTACCCGCAGCGCAAGGTACAACTCGCGCGTTGTTTGCTCACAACGGACCCCGCCGCTGCGTGTGTGTATGTGTGCGTGCGGCGTGACGATCCAACGCGTGCGTGCTGTGCGTAGAAGTGGGCTGAGTGCGGGCCCCGTGGTAACAGCAGTGTCAGTCCGGTGCAGTCAGGCAGGCAGCAAGAGCTTACTAGCTGGGTTGGTTGTTGGTGAGAGGGGGCGGACTGTAGCAGCGATAGGGAGGTAGAGAGAGGGCCGCGGTCTGTAGCAACGATACGAGGCAAGGAGAGAGAGTGGGGGCGCCTTGATGTATGCAGCTTAGAAGCAGGAGGTAGAGAGAGGGGGCGGTGTAGCAGCGATAGAGGAGGTAGAGAGAGGGGGCGGTGTAGCAGCGATAGAGGAGGTAGAGAGAGGGGGGCGGTGTAGCAGCGCGGATAGAGGAGGTAGAGAGAGGGGGGCGGTGTAGCAGCGATAGAGAAGAGAGTTTGATATCATAAACGGAAGCAGTGATGCGTGGCGCCGTGTACACCAGACATGTGGAAGAATTCGTCGTCGCGTCTTTATTTTGCTCGCAGGACTGCGGGCTTGCGGTTCATCGCGTTGTTATTTACCGTGACCGTGGAGTCAGCGCCCTAGGTGTACCTTACCTACACAGTCGCCCAGTAGCGATGCATCTGTGGATTAACTGTCAGTGTTATGTAGTGGCGCGGTGGACCCTCTCCAGACACCTGTCTCAGTTTTATAGTGGAAAACCATCATAAGTGCAATATAACAACTTCCTAGCTGGCCATTGTGAAGGCGTCGTGTGCTTCGTGTCCGTGGCATATTATAGTGAAGTGTATATAACAACGTGATGTATTCAGTGTAGCAAGACTTGGATGCCAACTGACGGTCCATGCAACACATACACGCTCGTGGCCAATCCTAGTTTAGGGATGCCTGTGCTATATAGTCGCATACATATATCAGGCAACTAAATCGCGGCAAGCTGTGGCAGCGCAGCTCTGGAATAGATTATTATACATGGTTGGTTTTCATGTATAAGCTGGCTTGACGCGGGCGGTACGTTGCTTGAGCGTTGTTGGTTGTTGTTGTTGTCGCTTTGCTGCTGCGTGTATGCGGCGCAGCAGTGCGATCCCTGAACCCGTGCCGCGATGCCCATGGAGCTGTGACGACCCTTGTGGCGATAACTGCTACTGCGCGACTGTGCCATGCGACGTACACGCGCGCCAACTTGCAATCTACTGTGCAGTATACTCTATCTATAGTGTAGCGTGACGTGCGTGCGTGCTGTGCGTGCCTCGGTGCGTGCGTGCGTCGCGTGTGTGTGTGCGTGCGTGCTCGCGTGTGAGTGTGTGTGGTGTGTGGTGACCTGTGTGTGTGTATGTGTGTGTGTGTGTGTGTGTGTGTGTGTGATGGTGTGTGTGTGTGTGTGTGTGTTTGTGATGTGTGTGTGTGTGTGTGATGTGTTGTGCGAGTATGGAATATTGTATGTGTGTGCGCTGGTGTGTGGCGTGTGTGCTGGGTTGTGTGTGTGTGGTGTGTGTGTAGTGTGTGTGGTGTGTGTGTGTGGTGTGTGTGTGTTGTGCATGCCGTTTGTGCATGCGTTACGTGTGTGCATGTGCGTGCGTGCGTGCGTGCGTGCTGCGTGCGTGCCGTGTGTGTGTGTGCATGCGTGTGTGCGTGCGTACGTGTGTGTGTGCATGCGTGGTGTATTGCCCATGTGTCTCCTTGATTATATAATGCCACTCTTGTATAGTTCATACACTGATGTGGCGTGTTAAACCAGGGGTGAGTATCCATGTAGCGGGAGCGAAAGGGTTACACCACAGGCACTTGGAGCGTTTCAATAAAATATAATGCTAAATAAATACGAAATCTATTTACTACCAAAGTCTTAAATGTTTTCTATACTCTCTTTCACCGCTATTATTGCCGACAATTTCCTGTAAATGCCATCAAATGCCATTCTGCAACAAACGCTGGCTGGTGCTGCCATCGCTGCCCGCTGCACACTGACACATAAATATATATTTATTAATTGTCAGCAATAATCGGTGAAAGAGAGTATAGAAACATTAAGACTTTAATTGGTAGTAAATAGATTTCGTATTTATTTAGCATTGTATTTTATTGAAACGCTCCAAGTCCAAGTGCATGTGCGTTACGCCGCTATATAGCTAGGTATAGAATATGTAGTCCCACTCTTCTACAGTTGTTACACAGAGGCAGGAGGGATTGAATCGTAGCGATGGTGATATGATAGCGATGTGTGCATATAGACTCACTACACGTCCATCGATCAGCTTATCTACCTTACCTCACCTTACCTGCACGATGCCACCTGTGTTTCACTAGAATCAATCCATCAGCTCTCCCTTCTCCCCCTCTCTCACTCCTGTTCAGTTCATCAACCCTCTTGCTTCATCTGTGGGGGGGGGGCATGGGTACCGCGGATCGCTTAGCGCCCCCCACCCCAGCCTTGAGTTTCCGTCATGAGGGCATTCATTATGATTATTATTCATGATCTATCGATTGGAAGTATAGTCGTCTTGTTGCTGTAGTTTAATGCTGTGTGTGCGTTCAGTGTGAAATCATTGTGACAGCCCGTGCAACCTTACAGAACAGGAATGGTTGGTGCGATTCATTCGGTCCTCTCTCTCTCTCTCTTACAAACAATCGTGCGCTATCGTATGTGTACACATACTATAGAATACTGTAACTAAACACAGGAGTAGGGTTGGTTACTGCTAGCCTAGACCAGGCTCTACGACTGTTACACTTCGTATGACATGTAGTGAGAAACGAGAAGGTAACTTAATTGTGGCTAGGGTTACTCTCTACTGCTGCATGTGTTGGGTTACATTATTGTCGCTGTAGTGTGTAAACACTCTCTTGTTTACAGTAGCACAACACCCTCTCCTATACAGGCCTATAAGACACCCATGTATGCTGCTATAATGGTGCGTTCGCCGTGAACACCAGGGGCCATCATTCCATATTTTTTCCGATTAATTATAACTTCTTCTGCGGAAGAATAGAAACCCAATAAAAGCAACAGAAAGGGTATATATATATACATTGTCTGTTGCTTTTATTGGGTTTCTATTCTTGATCCAGTATGGAATGATGGCCCCTGGCGAGTGAGCGTGATATTATTAGCAAGCTTGCATACATACATGCTTCTATTGTGATCGTTTCATATGCCCTGACTTGTTACCTGGCTGTACATGCAAGTTACCTGGCTGTACATGTTACCTGGCTGTACATGTTACCTGGCTGTACATGTTACCTGGCTGTACATGTTACCTGGCTGTACATGTTACCAGTGGCTGTTGTATATACCATGGCTGTACAGCTTACCCATGGCTGTACGATTGTCATTACCCTGCCGCTGCTCCAGTTACCTGTGCTGTGATGTACGTGGCTGTACATGTTTACCTGGCTCTACATGTTCAAAGTGGGGTACATGCCTGGCTGTCATGTTCCATGGCTGTACATGCTACCCCGGCTGTACACTGTTATCGCTGGCTGTACATGTTACCGTGCTTTGTGTATGTACGTGGCTGATAAGGAGGTATAAGTGTGCGCAGTGTTAGTAGGCATCAATAATGGTAACCGACAACACGCACAGCAAAGAGAGTCAACACTAAGCTGAGAGGCTCTGCCCCCCGTACTGCACGGAACGTACCTGGTACTAATCAGGAGCTAATAATGACAACAAATTTGTCCATATACCCTGGTACTATCTAAGTATGCCGGACGCGTTACTCGCCTATCTCTACTAACGAGGTCTGGGGGTCGCCTGCGCCTATGCCTAACTAACTCCTAACTCAATCCCTAACCCTAGACTCTAACCTTAACAGCTAACCTACCTCTATAACCATGTAAATAGTGACGCAGAGTAGTTCCGGTAATACCGAGCGTACACAGGGTACGTTCCGGCATACCTGGGGTACATAGACCTACGAGCAACACTAACAAGTGTACCTCTCGCTCCCCACTACATGTTTTATCAGCGTGTAAATATAGATACTAAATATATTACTATAGTGTACTACATCGTATAGTTACAGTATAGTACAGTATGTCTAGTAATAGTATAGTATTAATATAAGTATATTATACGTATTATATAGTATAGTATATATGCTTTACATACTAACAAGAGGCTAATAAATCCTACTAGTAAATCCAGGTAATAGGTAAATAGGTGTTTTATTAACTCTTGATACCAAGAGTGCGAATTAAAGGAGTCCGGAGTCAAAACTCCGTGATTTACAGTCGGACTCCTCTGAATTGACTATGCAGGAGTCGTGTGACTCCATAAAATTTCTGACCATACTAATAGTTCGTTCGCGGAGCCACGGCCTCTGCGAATACGTATTTTTTCAGTGCTAATTGATCCACCGAAGAAATTGGCAGACTGCAACCACAGGAATCTTAAAACATTAGGCAACTGCGTTCTAGTTGTTTAATATCTTTAATTTTGAACCCCAGACTGCAGACTCCCGTCATTTTGCTGCGATCTCTTTTGAGGGCAGGGAGTCCGTTAGTCCGTGTTCAAAAGTTTAATTTCTAACCGCCTGTGATACTAATAGTATATAATCTATTATTATGATGTCCTACGACGTGTAGCTGTCGTAGAGCCTGGTCTGGCAAGCAGTAGCCAACCATACTCCTGTGCTGGGTTACGTTAGTGTATGTAACAGTGTAGGTGTAGGATGTAGGATGTAGATACACCCCATACACTGGCTGTGACACACCCTTGTTGTAAGCGTGATACTATAGATGCACACCTACAGACACTCCTGCCCTCCACCCACCCACCTATACATAGCATGCAGTCTGTGATTATGCGACCATGCAGACATCTACACGCACGTCATACATCTCTATATAGTAATACGTCTGGTTGTGCAATGTGTGACTGCGGTGTTGTTGCTATAGTGTATCCACGCAGACGACCAGACAATGGTGTGCGCATCCGTGTGTTAGATGTTGCACCTCATGCAGTACACCTGTCGCCTCGTGACAACGTGCACGCGGGAGAGGTGTGGGGGGGAGGGGGAGATGCATGCTGCTGTTATACTGCTCTCCCCCTCTC